GGAGAAATATTCGCTCGTTTAAATAGCGTGCGATGTGATCTCATTTCGTCCACGAAAAGTTGCCGACGTGATTTAATCATTTGGATTTTACAGATGTAGTGCGGTCTTAACTTCCATTCACCTTTCTTATTGTTGCCTCGATGCATTGATTAAGTTAGAGACTTGATCCGTTTTTCTTCAGAGGATAATGATCTACTTCATCGGGTCAGCCGCCATAGACAGTTACATGTTACAAGGTACTATCCGAGACGCCAATTAATCCGGAAAAATAAGTTAAATTGATTAAAGTTAAGGATCATTATCTCATTTGGGGGCAATCAGTACTTCCTGCTCATTTGGGGGGAGCAATATTGCATGACTACAGCAGAATTGAGTGACTGAACAACGTAGTAAGTTGCCTGAATTGTACGTCGTGCAATTTATCGAATCGGACATTATGTCCGTCATTCAACGTGATAGCAGAGAGGAAACTTTAAGTAAGATACACTACAAATTAGCCAGCAAACTATCCGACTTTATCTGAATGCTTATTCCATTGCCTTTGTTCGTTAATGAGCGTGATTATAGTCGAAAGACGACACTTATTTTAAACTCACAAACTTTGCCTATGTAGTTTCTATTGATTCAAGTGAGTAAACCATAAAATATTGATGGTGAACTTAACCAACGGGCCAATGAGCTGGTGATTAAGGGGTAAGGGCAATAGGCTTATCAGCAACGGGTCGGGAGTTCAAGCCCCATGGTTACGTCTGACTCTTGACGGCTAAGAAGGCAGAAATGGCCATTCTAGGCTCTGCTGTCTCTTCCAGTAAATCCATTCTGAAACAGATTATTATAGATTGCCTCTATCCGTATATATCACGTCAACAAGGGTTTTTCTTGCGATGCCGAAATAGTTACCATATGAGGCGATTCTAAATGTGCTGGAAGTGTTTTATAATTGTACTAGAGTGGATATGAACTGAGAAAAGCAGCCTGCCCACTAGAAGATCTCGATGTCATAGCGACTATCCCATGTTGACGGACCCATTTGTCTTAGCGATGAACTTTGAAAGATTTTTAGATGTCTGGGTTATAAGCCTGTCTGGCAGGTTGTTAGTTATCTCCATATGGAAAACCTTAAGCAGGCATCCACTGTGATGTTTAGTGTAACCAAGCTTGAAACAAACCTCCCAAGTGTTGTTTATACGCAGAATACAAGAATATAACGTAGAGTCTTTCCACAAGGAAGCGTGAGGTTGACAATCTGGCGTCTGTCAGTGTTCATATGATTCCTTGCTTCTCAAGCCACTGACTCAAAGAAGCATCTTCAGGCAATATTTCAGTCACCATTTAGTATTCAGTTAAGGCATCTTTCCTAAAAACAAAAACTAATTGTTGACATGCATACGTTCAATGACAGTGCACGTAGCCATTTATGCTGAATAAGATTAGTGGAACAATTTTTAGCATAGACAACACTCATGCCGGTCAGGTTTCGCTGCCATCGATCAACCATTAGAATGCAGCGCCGGAACATTATCGATTTTCCGTTTGAATTACCTTGGCCTCGTTAGTGGCACCGGAAGTTGTTTTGACGTTCTATTATCAGCATGCTTGACCCTCATGCCCCGGACCCCGAAATTATCCAAACATCTAACAACACTTCGAGTGAGCGCGTAGTAACGCCGAAGTTTGTGGACAGTGACGATCAGAAAGAAGTACACTCCGCGACCCCTATTAAAGCCCATGCAACGATAAAATCCAGCTGCTCAAATTATGAATTCTACACGAACCTCAATGCCTCTGAAATGCCGGGGTCTGCAACGGGCCCACAAACTCCCGCAGAGGAGTCTGCTGGTAAAGAACCACAAAAGAAGAGAAGATATAAAATGTCAAAGAGATTCGAGGGCATTTCGCCGCCAAGGAACATGACACGTCCCAATATGTGCAGTAAAGATGAAAAGGACTTTCCTGTGAATAAAATAGCCGAAAGCATGGAGGCTCCTCCTAGTTTTGTCTATGTGACTACGCAGGCGGGGATGAATTTCCGGCTTAATTTCGTGGCGACCAATGTCACTTTCGAACCATTGTTCATCTGTCCTAGAAAGAGGCGACCTAAGGCAAACGAAAAGGATATTCAGGTGATTGCCCATGAAACGGTTGTAGAACAATATGATACAGCTAGTGACAGACTATTTATTACGCGGCCTAAATTCATTGTCGAACCTAACCAGGACGAACCAGATAAGGTGGTATTACCGCCGCTTCGCGTTTATACGACAAATCAACTGCGTCATAATCCAGAATCGATCAGCCGACCTCAACGGAGTGCAACGATTGGGTTTATTTATGTGCGGTTTGAGGGAATTTTGATGAAAATTCGCGTGAAACCCCTGCCTATCACAAAAGTTAAAATGCCTGTAACCGATGATGTCAAAGCAACAATGGAGAGGCTACGCATGCCTTCATCAGATGCTGGCAAAAATCGGGCCCAGCTCTTAGTCCGCTACAATAATGACGTACTGAAGATATCCTTTGGTCTTTCGGAGTGCTCACTTTCGAGGTTACCAGAACGAAAGTCACTAGCGATACAAACAGAGTCCAAGGTCGTCCTTCGCTCTGAATACTGTCCGGTAGCCCAAAAGCAGGTATATATTCCGATACCCGAAACCACCTACTACTACAAAGATCCGATGATTGATATTCGACGTCTTAACGACCACTTTGCAAGGATGAAAATCCATCCACTTTGGAAGCATGAAATGTTCCACAAACGCGTTTCTGCAATGCGCGGCAGTGGTATCATTGAACAAATGGTGGAAAAGGTACTGAAGAGAAGCCGCGGCTCTATGTTGGTATTTGAAGGTTTTAATGCTGTTGCAACAGCCATGGGAGGGCTTCTTTGCGCACGCGTCTCGGACGGCCAACACCTGTACGAATCGAAAATGCACACCTACTTAGGTGACCTCGAGCAAGAACCCCAGCCGAAGGAAGTGAATGTTTCCTCTAGCGCCGAACTTCAAATTAAGGTAACTATCATGCTTTTATAACTGGTCATGAGTTTTAATGAGATAATTCACCTGAAACAAAGGGTTAGGGCACATTCCTTTCGAAGATGAAATAACCTCTAGCCTAGCATTTTCCCATTGCTAAGTTGAAATTTCTCCCTCTTCTCCTGTCACTCCCAGCCAGAGTGATTAGATTGCCAACATTCTACACTTCAAAGGTAGAAGCACATGTGTATAATCATATTGGGCGAATAATATCCAACAAGGGGATCGAGTAGTTTAAAGGGGAAATTACTATAAAAGCTATTGCTGGCACCATAACAAATTAACTGTGTTGTTTGTTCTACATTACCTAGTCAGCCGAGACTATTAGCAGGCAGTTATTATAGGTGCTTTTTAGGCTTAGATTACGTAAAGCCCTGAATACGTTTGCTTAACTACGTTCTAGGATTATTAAGAGGTTTTTCACAATTGGGTCAATTCGACGTACTATGACATTGCGCTAGCAAGCAAGACTTTGCTGGCCCTTGTTTAGCAGGGATGAAGAGCATCTTTCGATATACAGTGGTCGCCGGCTATTAAGCCCACCTCGGGCCCAGTCCAAATCAGGCTTAATAAGCGGCTGGGCTTATTAACCGTGGGCTTAATAGCTGCGACTACTCTACAAACATTAAAGCAGTTCATTTGCTGCGAATTCAGAAGTGATCGGTAGGAGTTATTCTCACACGGTAAGCAGGCGAGCAGTAAACTAGACAAGAGTTCGGAAAAATTGAGACTGTGGCATCCTGGTTTTTGAAAAGAAGAAAAAGTTTCTGATACTAGTGCCCATAACGTTTTAGTTTGATTTGCAGATCTTCAGGTATTTTTGAATCTGCATGGTCTCACTGTTGTAGTAAAGAACGCCATAAACGCATGTGTATTAGAAAGCAGTATCCTTCGTCTTTTATGTTTTATATTTTGTTAACTTGTCATATATGGTCACAGCAGGTAGGCCCTCCTTATTGCTAGTGGAGATATTCATGTCTTTTTGGTGCCATTCAATATCTACGCATAATCTACCCCAAAATACTTATTTAAGCTTTGAGTTGTGCCACCTTCAGGTTTTCAAATAGGCTTACTAATTGAAGTATGAACAGGCATGTTTCCCTCTACAATCTGCACACGGAAAGATAAGAGACTTGAAGATGTTTCAGTCATCCGGAGCACTGAACAAGGCTGATAAGGGCCAGACCAAGCACACGAACTGAAATGTTATGATAAAAGATCGAAGGAATGAACAGGAACTACTCTACAATTAATAAGCAAATATTTACAGAGTAAGAAAATAATATGGGATAGACAAAGGCGTTACATAAGTACAAGTCCCGTTTGGAGTGGGGGGTATTTCTCTTATGTCCGTTAGATCAGCGGTGGGAAAAGCAGCACTGTGGCAACTGCAAGCGAAGGACTTGGGAGTGCTGACTTAGAGTGAAGGGAGACGATACGAATACGACGGCGACATGTTGCGGATGGAGACAGACACCGGTATGTTCGCAGACACTTGATCACACCACCTCCATCCTGGGTTGGCGCCAAAAGTGCTGACCTGAGTGTACTTAAACAGTCATTCAGTCTCTTTGGTCATTAAACCTCCCTATTTATATGCCAGAATTACTAGTAGAGTTATTCACGCCTTTTGGTGACATGATATATCTACACACCATCTATCCTTAAATACTTATACTGAAAGCATATGCTTAAGTTCGAGTCTTGCATTTCCATTGCGCAGTAGAGGTCAGCAGCTTTATCTTATCGAAACCCTAGTGGCGTTTTCATAGCGCAAAGCTTGATGTGCTTGCCAATTAGTAACTCGATATTAGACAAAGTCACAAATTACATGCTTGGCATTGGTCACTAGACCTCGACCAACTGTTGTTTCCTTTTAATTAACTAGCATTACGAGCGTGGTCAACATGTCGAGCTTTTCTTTAGCAATTATAAGGCACCTATACTTCACTTTTTGGACGAAGTTCTGACACTGGAACTTCTTGGTCATGTGGGTCGCCGTTTCTGCTGAGATTTCCTTTTTCCCTCTAGGGCAAAAGTTCTGAACAAATGCCACTTGTTTTCTCAGCCTTGTCCTGCTACATAGTTTTCGGTAATCCCCACTTTTCAGATTATAATGCCTTTTTCATAGGACTGGCCTCATACTGTGGACAATGGGAGTTAAAACAGGAACTAAAACTGGGTTTCACGTTTGGCGTGCTGTCAATAGTTGGATAGGTTGTCGATTTTGTTCGGAGTCTTCAAGTCAGGATTCGCAGCAGGGAAGCAAAAGAATAAAGGAAATGCGTTCTTCCCATTGAAGGCAACGTTTGTCCCTAAGTTTACTACACTTTCACCAAATTTTGCTGCTCAGGAAGGAAGTAGGATTCCACCTGCATTTGGAAGAACGATGGGCAGTGCATATAGTATAATTTATCGCGTGAATGATGCTCCGGAGTGGGTTTTGTTTGCGACTTGATACAACACGGGAATAGAACGCTTAGTTGTATAGTTGACTTTGTGCTAAATTCCATGGAGAGCTAAAGTTCTCTCTAAGGTTGGGTGTAGGACACGAAAAAATGTACCGTCCTGGCATTTAGCTAAGACATGGTGTCAAGCAGGATACCAATTCCTGTATGAACGCGAATGTGTATAGGGTGTGTCATTAGTACTTAAAGTAGAACGACACTGCTGGTTAAAATTGCACTTTATAGGCATTTAAAGGTACAGTGTACTGTGCTTTCGTCGTATGTGCGAGTGGAGGCATCATCAGTCTTCAGTTTCATCATCGGTGGCGCCACCTTCCTTAACATTTCGAATGCACTGAAGACTGTAATGTGAATGGGTATATAGTATCCACCTCACTTTCGTCCACATCAACTCTAACCCTGTATGCTCTCCAGAAGGCCAGATATAGAGAATGGGCTCTAATCGCCAAGTGCACGGAACTTTGAATGAAACGAGGGGTTTCAGACCTCCATGCATCCATATTGACGATACTGTAAGCTCCGCCGCAGCGTGCAACTAGTGGATTATTGTCATTCACTAAGGGGAGTCGTCTACGAGATAAGCTGGAGTTTTTGATTATATCGGATTGCCAGGTCCAGTGTTGAGCTTTAAGTTCAAAGTTACTATTGGTTCCGTGCTAAAAATGGAGAAGAAAACGAACGTACAAGCTTGGTACATTTTGAGTTGTCTTTAAGACCCCACGAAAGACGCTTGAATTCCCTTTTCAACAGTTAGGTGTTAACCGAGTTCGGAGTGCCATTTAGCCAAATATATTGTATTAAGACGCCGCATATCAACGGACAAAAGTATTTAGCAAAGTTAATTAGAATACACAAGCACGATAAAATTCGAAGACTCGTTCTTCATATGTTTTGACTACCTTAGGTATACAAGAGGAAACCAATTTTTAGGCGGCTGACGAACCATTTCAGCATTTCGCGTATTCTTATTCCGTCTTCGATAGTTAACAACGACTGAGGTATCGCTGCAAGGAGTGGTGCAATTGTAATTAATCGTTATTCTGTTGAAAGTCAAATTAACATGCTATTTAGGTGCTACATAGGTGAGCAATCAACGAGGGAAATTCTGGCAGGCAAACTCAATACCACAATGAAATCCGGGTTGAAGAGAGTTACTTTGGTCGTTTTTGTAAATCTTCCAAAGCGACAGCTATAACACCTCTGTTTTTTATAATCGGAAAGACCAAAGTGTACTTCGTTCGTAGTTTATTAAGTTGATTTTTTATCAAGACAAAATCTTGGGAATGACAAAATGTATGTACAGAGTGCAAGTAAACTGGAAACTGTCATTCGAGTCGCATCAGTCTTTGTCAGCAGGTATTCAATGTCTGGATTCTTCCGCACGGACGGTTAAAGATAGGCCTCAGCTCCCGAGGCGTGTTATTACTCCTGCTATATAACTGGATCATCGATGCCATCACCCCAGTTATAATTACTCAGTAAACCACGATCTTATCAGTCTCGTTTAAGATACAGAAAATGTGAATGACTGTACAAAATTTAAACGCAGTGTCGTAGCTGAAGGACGTTATTTTTT